AGCACAGCCATACCATCAAACATCCTCTATGTTTTCTAACCCTAGAAAGGCTTTGGGTAGATTAGGGTTAGGGTTTAGATTTTCTTCTAAGAATTAATATAACCTTCTACTCATTTGGGCGGACAAAATAACTCAGGGCATAGAAACATTAATTTGAAAACACTAAGCAGCCTTGCTGAACCAAAGAAATGGAAATTTGGAAATTTGGAGAGTGGAGATCTCAATAAGCATGGTTTCAGGGTTAAATACTGTAGGTTAGTCAGGAATACCCAATACATTTTGATTTGATATTGTTAATATGGCAATGTATTCCCAATTCAAGAGTTTCAAAAGTACAATCACTTTCTTTCAAGCCATAGCTTTTAGGTTACTCCCTTTCAGGCAATGCTGTGTATATAGCCATATACAGTATGCAAGAAAATTAAAGTTGAGATAACACTTAAATACAGTATCAATTTTCCTGATATCATTTCTGTCGTAAAACATAGCCACGTTTTCATAGCATGTCATCCTGTTGTGGGAATCCTAACCCTAAACCTAGCTAAGGGTTGGGTTAGGTTAGGGCTCAGACTTTCTTCAAATACACTAGCTGCTCTGTATCTCACTTTCAGATTTATCAACTGAAAACTCCTCTGTGCCAACAGGAGACTTTTAATAACAATTGTGATTCCAGCTGAGAGTATCGCAAACACCCTGGAAACTGTTGGTGTTTTGCAGCAGACGGTGGATGTCTTTGGCAATTCCAGCCCGCCCAACACTGGCAGTGCTCTGGCTGCTGTGCACCACTGCTTGGGTTATCCCAGTCATAGCTGCACAACAGCCCTGACTTTGTCCAACAATGTCTGCGTTATTTATAGGACCTACAATACACTCTTAGCAGGAAACTTTACAGCCCATGCCACCCAAAGGCACCTCAAGTTAGAGCTTTATAAGTATTTCCACTTTAAACCTTTAGGCCACTGCACCAATCAAGTCTATGGAAGCTTATTAGCACCACTAAGAAAAAAAAAATCTTGTTTATACAAGATAGTATCTCGTTTATATAAGAACATTATTGCGTTTGAATGAGAGAAGTATCCCATTTAAACACAATACTTAATTTGTTAATGTTGCCTGCTATATTAATACTGTATAATCCATTGTACGTCGTATGCAGTAATATTGTGCTATGCAAAGTACAGTAGCACTGACTTTAACAACAGTAGAATATCGTCACACTCCTCTTTTTTTGGAAAAGAGCATACGTTTGGAAAGTTGTGCCATTTCTATTTGTCACAGAAACGACTAAAACAATACGCATTTAACGTGGGAATCCTTACTGAAACGGTGTTGTACTTCATGTATACACATGCTCCTTTAGATTTTTTTTTTCCCCCAAAAATAAGAGTTGGACAATATTATTGCATATACTGTACAGTACAATGCAATAAACAGTACTAATATAGTAGGCGACCTTGTTCACAAACTGTTGTTTAAACAATTTTCTCAAGATACTTTTCTCGTATAAAGACAATAACCTCGTATAAAGACAATACTATCTCATATAAATGAGTTTTTTTTTTCTTCGTGGCACTAATGAGCTTCCATACAAGTCCACAAAAACTTGAAATCTTCATCTTTTAAGGAACTGAAAACAGTTTTTAAAGGTCCAATTACCAACTTACTTGTTCAGTTTAGGTATTGGTTTAATCGCCAAGAGCACTTTTGGAAGACAAACTACAAGAAATTGGAGTCACATGAAGTAGAACTGGGAAAGCCTTTTCTGGAGTGCTGACTTGTGCTCATCACTACAAAAAAAGTAAAAACAACAGGAACCTGTTTTCAACCATTTTCATTATGGTGAACAAAGCTTTCAAAGGTTTTAGTAAGCTAAGCAAAGCTAGACATTTTGACTCCTGTTTGCTCATAAATGATGAGCCCACATACCAGCACAGCACCAGAACAGCATCAATGTTCAGCAAAGAAAATAGTGCTCTGCGTCATTCAGTTTTAAAAGACTTCCCCAGGTTGTTAGGTTGATTCACAAGTCAGAAGTCTGGGAATGGAACCTATGCGGGTTCCAAGGTCAGGGTCAAGAGGTGAGCGAAAGTCCAAAGCCAGATGACAATTTTAGTATCAAGCACCTGAAACACAATCCAAAAAAGGTCAGGAAACAGGCCAAGATCCAAAAGTCAGGCAAAGAGTCCGAAAAGAATTCAGTAAAAGCTATCTCAAGAGCTCAAAGACTTGAAAACAATACTAAGCACAGCTCGAATAAAGAGCAGGGTTTAAAAAGGTTTGGAGAGGTGAGGTGTGGTGTGGCTGGGTTGAGCTGCAACTCTGCTGCACAGATGAAGTAGGCACTTGAGGTTGGGGTGCCCTCTGGTGGCAGGATGCTGGAACTGTAACACAGGTGGGTCCAGCTCTGTGAAAACTTTGTCACAACTAATTCTGGGAGATGGTAAAATAACAAGAAAATGATAAAACAATGATAAAACAGAACCTATTCCATTGGGAAGATATATTTGTGACACAATAAGCAAGAGGAATGCAAGAACCTTCATTTCCTACTGTACACTAGAACCTTAGAAATGTAATACAACAAGAGCCCAATCAGTCCGCCATTCTCATTTAGGTGCTAGAACATAATTAATCTAAAGATCTGTTTCTTTAGAAACAGTCAGGGTACTGTAGGTTGTTCAACTAATTTGTGCAAAATGTGCTTCTTGTTCTCAGTACTAAATGCAGCTTAGTTAACGATGGAAATGTATCCATTAAATCCTAAGGATGAGTTCTTTGAGGTGGAGAGGAACTTTTGTTAAAAAGCCATAAAGAAGTGTATGGTAAGAAGTACTGGGAAGCTGGCTGTATAGAGTTCAGCTGCTTGCCTTATACAGAAGATGTAAAACCAGACTGGCAGCAGCTCACAGCCCATAGTTGCCCCCGGGAGACCGCAACATCCCCAAGAGCTTATTGTCCTCCCAAGGTTCTCGGGACGCATTCAGGCTGCCTTTCGATATAAACATCCACCTACTAATCGGCACCCAATCTTCTAATTAATAAAAAAATCACAAGGCTCTGTTTAATTTCCTAAATGCCACTGGAAAAGTGCTCCCTCATTGAGCCACCTGTAGCAGTATAGCACTCAGCACGTCACAGGACAGGTAGGCCAAACCAGCCAATTCCTATGGAATCCCTAATCTCCCACAGATCCCCAGACTTAGAATCCCCGAACCCGCCTGGAGCCAGGACAGCAAGCACCTACCTAGTGGTGTCTTTCCCTGCCTGCTGCCATCTTCAATACCTGTGTCTGCCTGTCTTCCAGTTGGCCATCACTCTCCTTGTTCCTCACAGCACCTCGACCGCCTTCAGTGAGCTCTGGGCCCTCCGACTTCAGCCCGTCTTGGCAACCAATGAAACTCCCCGAGCCCTAGCGCTTGGGTTTCAGCCTGCTAACCACCACTGCTGCCTTGCAACACACAGCAGTGCTGTAATGCAGGATACAAAAGGTCTAGCAGGATAAGCATTCGGAATAGAACACCACGCGTCCATTGAGGTCAGCAGATAGGACCTAACAAAAAAGTTAAACCACTACAGACACAAATGTAAGTTAGTATTTTCTTGATTACCAACTTGTGTGTAATGTGAACGAAGAAATCATTAGAAACAATCAGATAATTTTTCCCACATAACTTCTAATCAATTAGCACACATGCTGTATATCTGCCTTCTTCATGCTTGCTGACACACATCAACAAGCTACTAGACACAAATGTAGGGGAAGGAATAAGCAGAGGTTAATTCCAAACTGAAAAGTAAAGCACACTAAAAATCATTTCAGCTATACTGTAGAACCTTCTTCAGGTGTGTGAAGAATACTCCACAGCCAAAATGTATTTTTGTTTTTTTTACATTGGATTTATTCTCTGTTTGTTCCTTTAGCAGCATGAAACTGTGCTCAAGATACACGTCTGCCTGTCACTTTGTCTGTCAGGACAGTTAATTTTAGCATGACCAGGGTTGGCAAATTCCTAATGGAAGACTTGGGGAGTCATACCGTAATTTAACAAAGCACTTTGATAAATTACACCCCCCCAAAAAAAATATGTTAAGTCAATGTATTTCTACAGCTGTGTCAACTGTGAAGTATGTGAAGATAGTTAATGTGAAAATACACATTTATTGTCATCGGTAGAATATTTTTTGGGAACAAGGGATCAACAGGATAGGTAAAGAAAGGTGGCAGTCAATGTATAAAGCTATAATTGTCAGTCATACAGTATCATGTATGTGATCTGTTTAGTATTGCTTTAAATAACATCTACCACTTTTATCAAATGCAATGCTTTCTATCATAAGCAAGGTTCTCACACTGTTGCACAATTCGGCCCCAGCTGAGCCAACAATAATGAGCCCTACATCTCTGGCTTAATGTGACAGTATAAGCCCAAGACAGCAGCTGGTCTATAGGAACAGCTAAGAGTAGAGTTGGACAGGAAACACACACTAATTTAACGAGAATGAGTTTTGTAGCTTTATTTCCAAATGTTGACATTTTTTAATATGCTATGAAACTCTATACTTACGAAAACATTTTGTATGGATTTCTTGGAAAGGAAACATCCCATAGGCAGACAAATTGAAACATTGAAAGAACATTTCTTTCTTTTCTCATTCAACTTTATTTGACTTGCTTTTAAACCAAAAGTTGAAGTGAAATATTTGCAAAGGGTTTTTGTTTTTAGATCATTCCCAGTGAACCTCAGATTTAATCTAAACCATGAGATAGATCAATAAAGTGGTTCAGTGCAGCCCTTTACAACTAAACACGCTGACACATTACAATTCCATCACCAGTTTCAGTTGTCTCTCCTTCGACATTCATTTCCATATTACGTTTAGCTAAAGCCCTCCTTGATCGGTCGATAAATAACACTGACAGGTAGGGCAATTAAAATACCATTCATTATGTTGTCTTTCGTATGTGAAAATATATATATTTTAAAATCTGTAAAACAAAAAATGATATTCAGTAGGTTGTCCTGGTAAGTCTTATTCATTTGCTAAAAATATTTTCAGTAGGGTAGACCAAAGCTCCATGATTTGTAACAGATTCAGAAGAGATGGCAGGACAAAGTGGTTTTAAAACAGAAAAGTTTCAGTCAGAGAATTAAAATCCATCTGAGGTCAGAAAACATCCTTTCAGGTTTCTTTCTGTAGCCCAGGAAACTTTTTTTTTCTGGGCACTCCCAGCACTGCATATCCTCACATGCAATTGTGTAAAAATTGAATTAAACCAACAAAAGAAAAAAAAACTATAAAACTAAAAAAAATTAGTCCATGCAATTTGTCTGGTGTTCGCTTTCATAACTAAAATAATCCAGAGAAATTTGAAAATTCAAATTAGTTATCAAAATGTAAATGCTTCATTTTCGTTAAATGTTCCATCTCTTATTTCTGGTTCCATTTATCCTTTTGTGGAAAACAATGTCCAGGCATTCAACAAAGAAAATGTGATTCCACTGAGGTCAACAGCAGCAGGTTGCCATGGCATTCGAGTGTAAAAGAGGAGCCATATCTGTCCCACAATGCCTCAGTCTTTGACAAGCCTGTAGATGTGATGCTGAGCACCATGTTCACTGGTGGATACTTCAAACACATAGGCGATGCAAAGTAGTGTCTCCTGTGTGTCTCTGTTTGTCACTACCTGAAAACAAGTACAGTTCATTACTCTACTGTGTACTGGCAAAAACACTACACATCTTCAATCTTTTTTTATATAATACAAAACATGAACCACTGTGTGTTAAACATGCTCATTGCCTCATGTCTTTTAATAATGCATTCTGTGTGCTGCAGTTAACACTGCAGTTAATTTTTTTGTACTACTTTATTATACTACGTGTTTGCAAACATGGTTTGTTTTAACCAGGCCAGTGTAATATCACGTAATATATTCTAAACTCCTCAATGCCTTATTAATGCATTGTTTACTGGTTCAATACAATATACAAATGCAGACAGCCAATACATTTAGCAGCAAGTTCGCACTGAATTACTGAAAAAAAGTTAGAGCAAAGAACTTAACTATTGGAATTCACTTTAAGCAGTTCTTTCAATATACACTAACTTCAAAAAACAAATGAAGCACTAAAAAAGAGAAAAGGGCAATCTAGACAGAATATTGCGCATCGGCGTTTCAGTGTAAATGTGTAAACAGAGTTGCTGAGTGCTAACGATCTCTTGTGTTTCCGTCATGATAAAACTGATTAAAACATGCTGGTGCTGTCTGGGGTTACAAACCTGTAGGATAGTGAAGTTCTCCAGCACACTGTTCATCATGTATTTCTCTGGAAGGTGCTTCAGCTTATGGATAAAGTTGATCATGTATTCACAAAGCGGAGAGCGATGGATCCGAAACACATAGCGTCCGTTTTCAAACCGCGCATACTCTGTCTGCCGGGACAAAACAGGAAGATGGAGGCTACATTTAGGAAAGATTACAGCCAGGGCTTTGGACAAGAGTATCATGGACAGGCAAAGCTGCAGTGAGTAGAGAATGTGCTCTAAGGGTTCTAAAAGTGCTCTGAACGTTCTGATGTGAAACACACAAAAGGTTTTAATAAATCTAGACACGAAGTTTAGAATATAAATGACTCCTCTCTTCAGTACTGTCATCCATCCACACAGACATTTTCGTATCACTTTATCCAATACAGGGTTGCAGGGTAGCTGGAGTCTCCCAACGAAAGCGAGACTGGATACCCCACGGATGGGACATCAGTCCATCTCAGGGCATACACAGACACACGCATGCACACGAGGGAAAGTTTTCCCACAAACCAATTAACCTACCAGCGGGCTATGAGAGGAAACTGGAGCACCCAGAGGAAACCCATGCCAAAACATGGAGAATACACACACTCCTTGCAGATGGCACTGCAGGAAATCGAACCCGGGCCCCCAGCACTGCAAGGCAGCAATGCTAACCACTGTAATACCGTGCTGCCAAGTGTCGTCGTGAAAAACTGAAATGCATTTCTTTTTTGACATATGTTGTTATATAATTCTGATTGTGAGGCACAATGTGCTATAGTCAACATACAGACAGGTATCATGCCATACTTAACCCCATTTGCCCCTTCTAATTCAATACCACTTTTGTCATTTCCTCCTTCCTTTGTCAATATCTGCAGAGCAATATAAACAATTCTCAAATCATACATCAGATATTTTTGCAAAAACCAAAGGAATGGTTAAGGATTAATATACAGTACTAAGAGCTGCCAAAAGCAGTGCAAGTTAAGCATGGAGGCTAGATTGATTCCAGACTGTGCAGCTAGGAGGAGTTGGAAGAACAGTCTAAAAAAAGGAGTTTTGCACAGATCGTTCCGTCACAGTTCTTGCACGGACCCCTAGATCACGAGAATCAACGGCGATTCACGTGGCATAATCAAGTGCCTACAGGAGTCTCATCAAGAATAGTTTAAAGGTGGTGGATTTGTAAACTAATTCTGATTGCACAGACATTCAATTCCTAGTGTACTGCATTTCAGACACAGCTTGTGTCACAGCTAAGTATGTTTATCTATACAGTGGCTATCAAATGTATTCACACACATTTAGGTGTGCCATGGTAGGGAGTGCATTTATATGAAACTGCTTGTATTCTGTTTTATATTCCTAATTAATTTAGGAGGATCTGTAGATCATATATTTTCACTATGATGTTTATATAAAGTTTTGTCTTGAACAATGGCAAAAAGATCCAAATAAATACATTTTGAATCCGTAACACAACAGATGTGAAAAACTGCAAACCCTTTCTATAAATTCACATTCACATGCCAATCCAAACCGTTTCCATAACTACTTTTTTCTGTTTTCCACCAACAACGAAATTTCACAGAATCTTACAAAATTAGACATCATGTGAGTATTTGCGTGTGTGCTGTAGATAAGCGCTTTTCACAGAGCTGTCAGAGAACCTGTATGTACATTAGAGTCTAGTAACAGCTTGCTCTGAAGAGCCCCATGCCAGCAGGTTTTGTAGATCACTATAAGATAGCAACATTTTAAAGATATCTATCAATTTCAATTAAACACCCGATGAGTTACGTAATTTAGAGATCATCTAGAACTAAAATGTACTGTAAATACTTTCTAGCCCTCAAGGACCAAAGTTGTCTTAACTGAACTAATTACTTACTTTAATACTTCTTTGACACTTTACCTACAAAACAAGACTGACTGGACGGTGTTGAAGATCCATGGTCAAACTTGTTCTACTTAGAAAAGGCTGTTTCAGAAATTAAAAATAGATAGTTTTGCCCTCAGGTATTAACCACTAAATGTTGTTTTTTTTTCTCTTGTTCTAGTTAGTTAAGACAGCAAGGAGGTGTCCGGAGGATGAAATGGTGGAGAAATGGATCATACTGTACTTTTCCTTCTGAATCAGAACAGTAATGAGCTGGAATGATGCAGTCCTGTTCTCCATTACCCCCAATTGAAAAAATTAAACAAAATTATTCAATTAATAATATTTACACACCTGATGTTTTATTAATGTTTGTTTTGCAAGCAAATGTCTACAAAATATCTAGACAGAAAATATTGCATACATTTAATAAAGAGCAGAAAGAAGGTATATTTCACTGATAGCAAAGCTTGGAACCCTTAAGCAAGGTGAAGTTAAGGTTCACTCCAGTACAGCAGTTCTGTGTTACTTTAAATGGAGAATACTCTTCTTTTCCTTCTGTCTGTTCTCTGTTGCAGCTCACTGAACAAACACACCTACCTGCTGGTTCCTGAGCACAGTTGCCCTGTCCTCCTTACCTCCACTTTTTCCACCACTTGCTTGCCAAAGGAGCACACTTTGGTTGAAGAGGTGATGATCATGTTTTCTGAGCTCTCGTACTGACTAGAAACGCCATAGAAGGAGCCACTGTCATCTTGGATGTTCATGCTCAGATCGGCCTGCAGAATTGCAAAAAGAACAGAGCAAAAATGCATCTTAATCCCAGTTTACAGCTGCATTTTTACAAGATTTAAAGCTTTTGATCTTTGCATCAAAGAAGCCAAGGTATTGCTAAATCTATCGGCCTTTCCTTTCCAATAATACACAGTTTCTTACTTTATGCAGTAGATAATAATGGACTTCAGACTTCAATGATGTTCTGATTATTTTAACAATCACATCCTCTGCAGATGCAGTTGCTTCATCACTTGCAGGAAGTAATGAAAGGATTAATTAAGAAATCAGACTGGATCAGATGAAAAGTTATGTGCAATTAAATATTATTTCTACATATATTGCATATGATTATATATTATTTATACTTTTATTTTTTTAAAAAGAGAAACTTTGCAAGGGGAATTGATCAAAGTTATCAAACTCCAAAATAGAGGACATCTGCCAAAGAAACAAGCACAATGTTTTACACAAAAAGTAGTGGCACAGGCAACCAAGATAGTGCTGGTTCTGATAACGTCAGATGACTTCCTCTTAATGGAGAGCCAGTTCTTCTCCATGGTTACATTAAGTGTTGTATGCCAAAAACATGCAGACTGAATATGAAAGACTAATACTCAGAAGCAAGGCTTACAGTAAATTAACATTTTGACCCACCCTACTCGTACCAAAAACAGTCAACAGGATCTGTAAGCCAAATCAATACATACAAAACATGAGCAAAATCAAAGAGTTTTCAATAATATCACAAAAAGATTCTATGTATATCAAACAATAAATGTGGAAAAAATATGTATTTAAAAAGCTTTCAAAACAATGGTAACAACAGATAATAAATAATATACTTTTGTCTGTTTTGAAATAAAAATAGCATTAATACAAATAATGTTATACCAAAAATATTGGCAATGATTCACGAATTTGAATAATATGACCTGTGACATCCAGATTAATAAGGAAACATTAGAAATACAGCACAAACTCTCACCATTACACTTTATAGTAATATGTAAAAGGCAATATATCCTCACTGGGATACAGAACAATGATACATATTCTTGAGTGCTATTCCAATATTATCAAGAGGCTAGCACTCAGGAATATGTACTCCAGTTGCCTTCACACTGACATAGGTTAGCACTGGTATAACCATATGGCTCTCAGACCTTATCCAGGCTTTGTCTCCAGATGCTTCTACTACAATTTATTGCAGACCTGGCCTATTAGCCAGGTGGTGTCATCTGGGGCATTAGTAACATTATAGTCAGGTTTTACCTTTTCCCCTCAGTTATCTTCTTTAATAAAGGCCCTTTAAATCACTTGCTGGCTCCCTTTATTTCCTTTTCATCTTTACTACCAGATAATTTGCTCATTTGTCTTGATTTCTGTAGCCCGTTAACTTCCTATGACCCAGGCCACCCCTTCTTTAATAGAAGGGCTTCAATGCCCTGCAAGGGAATTCATCCGATTACAATCAAAACCCCACGATTTGTAAATTGAATCACCTAGGCCAGCCCCTGTGTAACAATTTACAATAGCTGGCAGAAATCCAATTCTCTCAACACTTCTAAGGTGCAAGACGATCTGCTAAAACAGGGCCAGTGGCAACTCTGCAGATGGAAGGTAGAAAATGAAATTCAATACAGAATGCCATCACTTTCCAGGTAGGTCAGCAACCTGTCACTATCACCATGCCAACCCACACCTCAGGACCCCAGAGGGCAGACCTGTGACTTGCCCGTGTTAAAACAATTGTTTTCTTTTTGTTTTGAAAAAGCGCGTTTCACAGGATTTGCTTTATCAAACTCCTGAATGTTTCAGAGGTTCTGAAAATAAAAAATGAAAGGAAAACTAAATTGTCATTTATTAAATGTACTTCTGTCCAGTTAATTGACATAAAAAGAACAAATCTAAAATAATTCAGTATTTTTTTAACGATGGTATATTCTCACATAAAACAAACTGGCAAGTTAATTGGCTTCTGAGACAACAGACCCTAGGTGTGAGTCTGTGTCTGTGTGTCTTCCCTGTGATGGACTGGTGTCCCATCCAGGGTGTACCCTGCCTTGCACCTGGGATAGGCTCTGGGTCCCTTGTGACCATGAATTGGAAGAAGCAGTAAGCAAATGGACAGATGGATGTTAGATTCAATTATACAATGTATTACAATGACTTCATTTAGAATATTGTGTTCAGCAATGGTCATCACACAACAAAATTGGTATTATATCCTTATAAAAGTTCAAAGAGGTTTATGGATAATTCTTGGGCTCAAGGAATGATCTTAAAAAAAGATCTAGATCTCTTCAGCCTTGAATAAAGGAGATTGAGAGATTTGTACTACACATAAATACAATTATACAGGTGTGTAGATAGAGTTAATCCAGGGGACCATTCCAGACTCAGAAGTGAAACTAGGTAGGTCAAATGAAGGGGAATGAATTTGAATGAACAAGAAGAAAAGCTTCGTCACTCAAAGAGCCATGGGTATCTATAAAATTATATCACAATACATGTTCTAGGAGGGATCTGCATCATTATCACCTGTCCCCTTCCCTTCATTACATATGTGAGACATATTTGGGTCAACATGTTCAGTGTTCAGTGTGTGGTCATGTGTTTGGTGTGAGTGAAGTTTTATTTAATCTCTGACCCAGGGAAAAGTGTGGTGCGGACGGTTGAGGAGAGAATGCAGGCTCGAGAATGTGTCCGTTATTCTTGATTCTTTTTTTTCTACTTCTGGTTTGGTCAGCTAGTTTTGGTTTTTGTTTTATCAATAAAGTTTGATAATTGGCCAGTGAAAGCTCTGTTGTCCTTCACATGAATGCCTGAAACATTTTACAAAACCAAGGATTTTACACATACTATAGTGTCTATTGTTTGTCATTTCCACTGTAATGTAAAATGTGAATGTACTTGTGTCTTGTATGTATTGTAATGTCTTCATGTTCCACACATCTGTACTGTACTGTGAGCACATATTGGGACTGTGTTTTTGTGTCTTTTATGTCTTTTATTTATTGTCCAATGTAATGTAAGGAAATGTAATTGTTAATGCTCCTTTTGCACCTGTGTGATTTTTGTGTTGAGCAGGTTGCAAATGTGCCAAGGCAAATTCCTGTACCTGAAACATATTGGTGAATAAAAGTGATTCTGATTCTTGCCTACTGTCTTTTGTTCCCCTATGCCTTATTTATTTGCTTCTTGGCTTTCCCTCTCTCCCTCTCACCTGAAGAAGGCTTCATAGCCGAAATGTTGTGTTTCTTTTCGTTACCTATCACCATGGAATGAACCTTTACCTCTTCCATATCACAATACATATAACTAAATATATATATATAGGTTTGCTTCCATTGAAAACTCAGAGAATAAAAGTTTACAGTTATTTAAGGAAGGTTACTTTAAATATAAAATATTACAATCATAATACGATCACCATTCAATAGCTATCACACATGTGTCTTCAATAGAATATCTTTGTTAATGTTAATGGTTGTTAATAATTTAAAAATGTTATTTCAACTCTGATAATATGATGAAAAAAGCCTAGTGATATCCCTCACTTTAAGAGATTGTTGTCTGCTTACTTATTTGGAGTGTAGCTAGTGTAACTTATTAGGAGTGTAGCTAGTCTATAGCTAGATTAGGAGTGGTGCGAGGACATGACACAGGAGTCGAGACAGGAACCTCTATATAAGTAGCCCGGTGGCTGGCCTTTTGTACAGTGTGTGTCCCTGTTCCCCCTTACTGTGCTTGTTCAGGGCCTGGGTCCTATAAATAAGTGTGCGTGTAGAAAGAGTTCAGTCTGAGAGCAGTGGGACAGGTGTCTGAGCTCGAGTTTCCCTCTCAAAGAGCAGCCCTCCCATTCTCCCCTCGGCTACATTCTGATCCAATACGCACATCGTGCTCCTCAACATTGTAGTGATGGGGAATGTGAGCCCACCAGACCTTGGGATACCACACAGCACGGCTTAAAAAAGCTGCCAGTCAAGCGCACTGTGACATCGCCATGACAACGGAAAACCGAGGTGTCAATTCTCTACCCCCACAAGTAAAGAAATAGAGTATTACGTAAACTGTACTAGTTCTTGACCTCACTTAAACACAGTAAAATACATTACTGCCCGCACTCAAAGCTTTTCTTTCAATATGCTTCATGCAATTACCTCAAACCTGTATTTCTGCATATAAAGAGTACAAACTATCCACATGCTGTAACCTCCATTATTCTATATTCTATATTCTATATTACCAGCTGTAGAAAAATGTGCCCCAAAAACAGAAAAAATAGCTTAAAACTTATAATTTTCAGATTTAGCTGAGTTGTAAACCAGACACACAAATGTTGACCTCTTATAGCTTTATGCCATCTACTTGTTAAGCATTGCTTTATTTATTTTTTCTCAACTCAGTTTAATGTTAGTTGTCATGCAGTTCTTGGTAATTCTAGTTCTGTGTTTGATGGAAATATGTCATAATGAATTGTAAATTACCTAAAAAGGTCATTTTAATATATAAACCTTGTCCTTCTTAATCCTGTGTCTTAAACGACTGGACTTAGTTTTAGAGATACTGCATGTACTTGGTGGACATTGTCAGTTCAGATCCTTCAATGATGACGCAGGTTTCTTGCAATTCTTACTGACTGGGTCAAAAGCACTATAAAATTACTGAATGAACATTGAACACAACACAAAAATGTTTGCTTTTTGTCATGGCAATTTTATATTTAACTACTGTCTTGAATTAGGGCAGCACAGAGGTAAGCACTGCTGCCTCACAGCACTGGCCGCTGGATTCAATTCATGGGTGGCTATCTAGTGGAGTTTGTTTGGTCTCCCTGAATTTGCATGGGATTCTTCCCAAAGTCCAAAGACATACTGGTAGGATCATTTGTTTCTGGTATGCATGTGTTTTTGAACAGTATGTGTGTGCCCTGCGATGGACTGGTGTTCTGTCCAGGGTGTATCCTGCCTTGAGCTCATTGCTTGCTGGGATAGGCTCTGGCTCTCCCACAAACCTGCATTGGATAAAGTGGATGTATGGAATTACTACTGCCTGCAATGTCTTTTAACGTTTGTTAAAAAACAGTCTACAGATCAGTCTAATCTACTTGTTCATAGCAATATCTTTTTCTTATTTATGACAGACTCAAAAGCTCACTGAGACTTCCAGCTTAAACCTTTGGAAGAATTCAGAATTGGACCCTCAACACCTAAACATGAAAGAGGAGGGACATCCATTTTCAATTCATCTGGGGCAAACAAATGAAACAAACTCACCCAAAACTTGACCAAGAAGAACGCATTGGAGGGTCCCTTCTCAAACAGCTCTTTGAGGCCTCCTTTCTTCTCTGGGAATTTATCATAAATCTGCCGGATGTCAACAGCTTCCAGGTAAGGGTCACTGAACGTTGGGTTGGACTGGCCAATGTGGACAAACAAATGCTTGTTGTACTAGAAAATACAAGGGAGAAGGCACTTTGTTTCAGAAACTGTCATGGAGCCGTCAGAGGAAATAACAAATCACAGAAAAAAACAAAACAAATTGTAGTCTTGGTTGTTCATTTGATAAAGTTTCGCTTCTTTTTATAAGACAAATATTTGGGTAACTCAAGAGTGTTTTTATGTACATAGTAAAGAACACCCTTAAAGAAGGCTCCACAGCCCAAACATTGTGTTTCTTTTCTTTTCAGCATGGAATTAACCTTTACTTGCTCCGAGTAAAGAAGAGGTTATGGATTAATACATGGGCACAACCCTGAATTACAGTAAAACACCAACCTAATGTATAACATTTCATGTGACTTAAATATGACACTTGGATACCTGATCAGTTCTTAACACCTCTATGCTCTGCATGAAAAATGCTGACCTGAACCAGAGGCTGTGCTGGCTGTGAATATATAGAAGCGTGTACCATAGTTTGTAAAGATGTACATATGATTAATGTCTGCTGCAATCACATTTACTGTCGTAATGACAGGAGTCCCTCAGCAACTTTTCTCATCTTCAAAGTATTCGAAGAAAAGCAAGTATAAACGAATGACTGGCCTTTTTGCATCAAAGGAAAAAAAGAACATTGTCATAATTTTAATTATGACATCTATTTAATTATTACATTATTTTACATTATATACAGTATAATATTACATTATAATATAAATTATTACATTATTTTTAATTTTAATTATTTATTTTATTTCAACAGTCCGTGTATGGGAATAATACATCATGTGTAGTCAACTGTACAGTAAAAAATACTATAATGTATAATCCCCAAAATACATGCGCTGTCAGGGCGACAGGTTCACCTTAGGTGACTCACACAACTCAATGGAACTCGAGTGGGTGAACAACAGAATGCTATCCCTGTTGTCTGCTGACCATAAGGTCCTCAGTAAGGATTAGCACCTAAATAATGTCTGGCTGTGGATGTGGATGTTTTGCCCATTATGCCTCCCGGCATGTAGGGGCAGCAACATCCTGTTGCTGTTTCCGTAACATTAGTTTTTTACAGGACAGGGTTGTTAGCCTTGGGCCCAACCTCCAACATGGAGGACCTGGCGCCCAACGTGGGACACGAACCCTGAGATTATGGGTCTCATGCTCTACCAACAGAGCTAGTCGGGGCCTCAATGTCTGGCTGTGTTATAAAATAAATACCCCAACACCAGCAGTACTGAGTGTTTTTCCTTAGAATCAGCCAGGCTTTTCATCAATGGTCACTTCCTCAGAACAACATAGAGGCAAAAAGTGGGGCATGTTATACTTTGCTATTCACTGCGATTAAATCAGTGATCTAAGAAAATCATTTTACAATGAAAACCAGACATCGAGGCCTTCAAAGGTATCTCTTTTACCATACACCATGAAATTCAGTTCAGTTCAGTTTATTTGTCATGCAAATAAGCATTTCATTGCACCTGTGCATATGATAAATAAACTGAACTGAATTCCATAAAATACAAAGGACTCATTTTAAAAAATGCCAACACAATAGCTTCTGGGCTATAGCTTGGTAGTCCATTTCATGAAATAATAATTTCCTTGTGTTGTAAAATATTTGCCTAAAACTGATGCAAAATGGACACTCAAAAACACTCCCTGCTCTCTGCTTGTTGAGATTAATTTGGATTGACAACTGGAATCAGCTTTCTCCTTCAAACTGCAAAACTTCAGTCAAGTCTTCCTTTCGTATGTTATGCTACAGTATGTTTTAGCAAATCTATGAGGCCATCACTTTTCATTTTGCCAAAGTGAAACTTATCTAAATTTGATCATTCAGGCCTCCTACACAGAAAGAGGAGACACAAACAGTAGTACACCATCTCTGCGAAGGTTCGCATTCAGGACAGAGTGCCTCAGTCAGTTGGGCAGGGGTCCATATGTGGCTTAATGGAGGTAGCTGGCACATTTTCAATGTATGAAAGTAAAATAAGCCTATGATACTTAACTGACACCATCAGAGGCCAGCTGAAGGTCTGTACATTGAACTGATCTCTTTCCAGATCTCAGACATACCATGTGTCTGCTGACCACATTTGAACAATATCAATAACAATATCCTTATCAGTGGCTTAACTAGCCTCACAGTCCTTTAAGAGAAGACAGGCAAGGGTCTACCTGTTTGACTTTTCTATTTAAAAAGCATTCTTCTATTTGCTCTTCTTAATTATTTTAGTATAAACCAATATATAAACCATGACACCATGAAACCATGATTGTAAAATGCTGTAATGAATGTTACCTTAAACATAAGCTCCAAAACATAAACCATGTCTTTTAATGTGGATCTAGTGCATGCCTACTGGATTATACTGTAGGTGGCTCAGGCTAATCTTGCCTAGGGTATTGTTGTAAAAGAAAGAATAAGGTTCTGGATCCCGAGATGAAGTAAAACAGATGAGTTTCTTGCATGCAAGGAACAATAAAGCTGAAGTCTTGTTTCCTGCAAGAAACAACAAAACCGAAGTATTGTTCGATGTGCCGGTACAAACTTTTAGGTTATATAGTCCTTCCTTGCTGCTTCTGACGTCATTCGGTTTTATGGTGGGGGGTCATGGTATTTGGCCAGTTAAGAGACCCTGGCCAAATGGTCAGTTTAAGATTATGCCCCCAGGGGGTTCCTTGCTCACATCTGGAATCCTTATCAGTTAACCCCCTTTCCTGCCATAAACCCCTGTTGCTTAGAAGTCTAATTTTCAGGCAGAGCTGACTTAAGTTAACCCTTTTTACATCTTGTCTCTTACTTCAGTATCTAGGGCAGTGGTTCCCAAACATTTTGAACAAAGTACCACCCCTGATCAAACCAAAGCATCCAAATACCACCTACAAGTCATCTTCTCATAGGAACCCCAGAAAATCTCAATGACCAACATGAGCGTGCGCACACACACACATATAATAAAAATAGCACTGAGCACTTTTCGTCCTGTACGTGTATGATTATGTCATGGGAGAGCGAAAGCGGGCGTCAATACCAGTGTCTTTACTCAGTCTGTGCAGTGCAGAAGCATTCCCTCGAAAGGCTCCCTATTCTGTTTCTAGTTTTCCTACCCTCAAAGTGAAAATACAAATTCACAACAGAACTTAAAATTAAATTTCCATGTTTTCGAAGTGGCAGAGAAGACTGGGAAGCTGAATGTTTGGTGTGGCAGCCTGGTACTTTTGCTTCCGTGGCAAATAAAGGTGTACTTGACTTGCAAGCTCACGTTGACTCAGGTAAACATAAAAAGGCAATTCGAGGATAGAGTTCCTCAACCAAATTAACAGATTCTTTTGTAAAATCTGGCAGCAAAACAGAGGATACTGTTATTGAGGAGGACTTGTGCATTTCACACAGTTAAACATCATCACAGTTCCTTTACCAATGAACATAAAACGTGGGATATTTTGAAAAGACTCTCCATCCCGACCCCCTTCCCAGATAAGGCAATATTAAAGTTCCTCAGGGTGTCCTCATTTTTTGATGTTCAAATATGGTAACCCTAGTGGCTGATGTATAATCCTCTTCATTCTCAACAGGTGTGCGTGATCTATCAGACCTGGCGTCAGTACTCTTGGCGTCTATTCCTTTCAGCCATGACATAATACGTGATTATGGCGAAGTATTCATTTTCGATCACTTGTTCTGTTGGCGAATGTGGCGCAAAGCTGTCTCTCTGAAAGCTCGAGAGGAGTATGAACACTCAGATATTAGCGCGCACTGTATCGACATAGCCAAGTACAGTATGTCAGCTGCGTATCTGACACACAAACTAACTTGATTAAAATAGAAAATATGAAAACCCGTCTTTCTGAAACCAATTAGGTCAATTACAGATGAAAAATGTACCTAATTTTTTATTATTCCATTTTTCAATTCCCAATTTTTCAGTGCACACAACACATTTCCAGGGTCATCTTGCGTCACCTGTGGGCGCTCCGTCCCACAGTTCGAGAACCACTGATCTAGGGAGTTCTTTTATCATACTTCTAATCGTCAAGGAGCCTCTGCTTACTGTGTCAGGGTCTTGCTGATGCTCCAAGAAAGCGGAGAATTCCAACATGCGGAGTTTGCAGCTCCCGATGCTCCGACCCTGCCAGGAGGGTGCAGCAGGGGATGCTGTGAGGCCTACTGTGCTCTCATACCCTGTGAAGACAGAACGCTGGCATGAGAGGTAGGTTCAGAAAAGATAGAGACTCGCATCTGAACTACATTCCCCAGTAGGCTGTGAGAAATGACCTGTCATCCTCAGTCAGCCAGCCAATTGTATTGTGCCAACGGGTCATGTGACTAAGGATGACGGGTTATTCCCCTTCTGGGGAATGTAGTTCAGACAGAAGTCTTCATCTCGTCTGAACCTACCGTCCTCTCACAGGCTTTACATCAAACAGGAAACTGAAGGATAAAACATTGATTAAAAGATGTCCTCTACCTACCAGCTGAAGCAAAATACAGGTGTTGTAAGGTTTTACTTCTACAGAGACCTTAAAAATAATGCTTTAAAGGTGTGTTTCGCGAGCAAGTAAAATTCAAAACAAATACAAAAAAAGAAAATCATGTAAACTAAAATCCCCAAAATGTTGGAATTAATAAATGAACTCCTGGTCATTTAAAAATATACAGTGTTGTACTGTTACATGCGATTCACTTAAGAAGAAAGGAAAAAAGAATGCAGATGTGCTGTCCGGTAAAAAAAAAAATGAAGAAAATGGCAGAAACAAATGGGCACTCTATTTCAAAACGAAAGGGAGCCTTGCAAGCATCTCAACGAGTGATAATTTCATCATACTTTGTAAAAATTATCTTGTCAAAAGTCTTTACCTGATATTGTAGGTGGCCCAGTTCCTTGAATGGTGTAGTTATGTTGTGAGAAAGGCTTGACACTGGAAAAACAAGTTAAAATACTGCATGAGCCTTGCTTAGAATGATAATGCTCCCCCCTCTCTCTAAATGTAAAAGCCTAAATGTCTAAATGACCATATTGAATGAGAATGCAACATGTGTCTGTTGTCCAAAGCCTCTCACATTTGTACCCAAATAACACAACTGAACATTTAACTGAAGTAGCTCGCTCAAGAGAACAACATCAGTGTCCTTGAGCTGTCGGCAGAACATTGTCACACTGTGCCAGGATGAACTGGGCATTCCAGACCAATATAGACTCTGGACACAGGGAATAACAGTGTTTCAGAGAAGCTTTTTTTTAATTGTAATTGCAAACTATACTGCATATGCCCCCTGTCCTTTCACATCTCTTCTCTCTGTCTCACTCGCAAGTCAGGTGTCCAGCCCCTCCGAGTAAGGACAACTGGTGGCCAGGGGGTGTTAAGGGTCTCTCTCTGTTCCCCTCCCTCTCCACCAAGTCTGGAGTTCACTTGATATCTAAGTCTGGCATCTCAGCGATGTTTATCAGATGTAAACTTCTGGAAGCTGCTGTATAATATTCTGCTCTGAATAAAAGGCACAAATGTTTGCATGTCTGCTCCTTGCTTAGCATATTGCCCGGCAGATTTATGTGCCACACAACTTTATGAACTAGGTTAAAACTTTATTTGAAATTTGTTTTCCATCAGTTTCTCACTGTGTGAAACGTTTGTACATGAGGAAAATAATGGAGAGAAGACTCTCTCTTATCTATGATACTTATCTATGTGCCTGTCGCTACTGTGAACCCAAAAGTACCTGTACTGGTTTCCTGAAAGACAGAAACTGGTCTATCTGCTCATTGGCTTGGGGGAATATATTTAGGCAGTCACCCTCTGATGATTTCAATCATGTTATTGATTTTTAAAGGTTATGCGTGTAAAAACCTCAAAAAAACAAACAAAATATCCACAGCACACATTTCACCTACTCTTCAGAAGCTGTTGGTTGTCCTGGTAGTGCTCCATGCCAAAACTAAAATGGAAATAAATTTCCATCATTAGCTTATGTGCAAAAACATACAAAAATGACACATACTGTAAGACCTATCAGGTGCTAAGTAATTGCAAAAGGGTCACTTTTTGGCTGTGGACTCTGTACAAAATGCTTAGTGCCCAGCTTCCATTTTAATTTTTTGTGCTTAAAGATACAGTATGTATTTTACCTTTGACACAGATCTGTCTTTTGTGCAACTGACTTGACTTTTAAAAAAAAAAGTTTTGTGCCCAACCTTGAACATATTTAATCCTATGATTGAAACTGTACACATCTAAGTTTTCCTTCAAAACTATTATCTCGAGGTATTGAGACCTCTGTACCCCCACATTCACTTAAACAGCTTAATATATTTAGTACGGAATATGGTATATTTTGCAACAAGCCACAACAGATTGGTCCTGTCATTTTATTTAAAAAAAACTGCAGATTGCAGAAACTGGGATTTAATTGCTCAGTAGTGATTTCTGTTTGCCAACCCACTGTTGAATACATCTACACAGAAATCCCAAAAGAACAATGTCAATTATTCAAGCTCTGCAGATGCCACAGAAGTCCATTTGATTAATTATTTTATTTCATCATTTCACAAAACAGTCACCGCCCCAAGACTCAGACAAGGTCAAAATATCAGGGCTGCAGTGTCTCTGTAACTGCAATGATCTCCAAGTTGACAAAAATGACAAATCCTGTTTGCATGTAAAGCAATTGTGACCAAAATTTCCCAAGAGGTGTTGTGCTGCTGGCCAAGTGTTTTTGATTGGATTTTGGAGTTAACTTTGGCCAGGAAGTATTCATATTTGCTAATAGTAATATACAGTATATACTCATTAATAATTGATCAGCATTTTGAAAGAAAATAAAGTAGATCCATCCATCCGTTTTCTAACTGCTTCATCCAGTTCAGGGTCACGGGGTATCCAGAGCCTATTCCAGCAAGCAACACGTGTAAGTTAGCGTATATATCCTGGAGGGGACGCCGGTGTCTAGGGCAGACACACAGACACTCACACCAGAGCGAATTTTCCCACGAGCCAATTAATCTCCCAGTATATCTTTGGACTGTGGGAGGAAACCCACACAAACCTGAGGAAAACATACAAACTCCACACAGACAGCAACTCAGGTCTGAAATTGAACTCGGAGCCACAGTGCCACGAGACAGCAATGCTAATGACTGTGCCGCCCAAGAAAATAGATGACAGGCAGTATTTTAATGTTACTCAAGGTAACACTTGGGACACATCAGAACAGCACTGCCTCTTCTATTGTCCTAGTCCCGCCACAGTAGCAGTATACTCTATGAACCTAGAGATCATGGCACACATGGCTCTGTAGTATTCCCTGTTCTGAGTTCTGAGTTATGTGCCACGCTGAACATAAGCAGGGTTTCCTGGTTCCACTCCAGGACCAGGGTTGCTCACTCCTTTTCTCACTCATTTTCACACTGACGCCTCATTGCCTCAGTGCAGAACCGATAGTCTTCCGAGCGATCAGGAACCCTCACCCCAGTTGCAGCGGGGTAAGCCGGACGGGGCAGCCCCTGCAATGTTATTTTATTCTGGAAGGCAGAGGCAGAGATGATCTGGGCAGAGGACATGGTGGCCATGCTCTGTAGAGCCTTGTCCTTGGCTGCCTGGTCCTGCAAAAAGCCATAAAGAGCCAAGAGTAAGAGCAAGGGCATTGTATCACCGGCTGGGTGGCCACTGAACATGGAGTGATTTAGCTTAGGGGTCCATTATAGAACACAGCACACATTGGCCAAAATACGAGGAACCTCCATCAAATTAATACACTCAGTAGCAGAAAATAATTATAATAATTAATAATAATAATGCCTTACACTTATATAGCGCTTTTCTAGACACTTCACTCCACCAATGTGCAGCATCCACCTGGATGATGCTCCAGGACCCTCACCACACACCAGCTATCAGTGGGGAGGAGAACAGAGTGATGAAGCTGATTTATAGATGGGGATTTTTAAGAGGCCATGATTGGTAAGGGCCAATGGGAAATTTTGGCCAGGATGCCGGGGTAACACCCCTACTTTTCACAAGAAACACCTTGGGATTTTTAATGACCACAGAGAGTCGGGACCTCGGTTTTACGTCTCATCCGAAGGACGGCGCCTGTTTACATTATAGCTCATCATCACTATACTGGGGCATTAAGACCCACACAGACCGCAAAGTGAGCCTCCCCTGCTGGCCCCACTAACACCTCTTCCAGCAGCAACCTTAGTTTTTCCCAGGAGGTCTCCCATCCAGGTACTGACCAGGCTCACACCTGCTGAGCTTCAGTGGGTTGCCAGTTGTGAGTTGTAGGGTGATATAGCTACTGGCACGAAAGGTGTGGACTTGAGGAGCACTAAACAGACTTCCATCACCTACCGGAACACAAACCCCAGATCTCAATCCTATTGAAAATTAGTGATATGGGCAGGTCAGCTCTACCTTCATCACAACCTCAAGTGAAATCCCCGTGCAAGAAGAAAGGGATGGAATTGGACTACAAAAATTTCAGACCCTTGTGAGGTACATGCCACATCCTCTTCCATCTGTTCTTATTGATTGAAGAGGGCCAATACATTATTGGTGGGGGGGGTGACCTGATATTTTTGTCATGTAGTGCAACCAGTGTAACCCACCACTTTGCTGTAAAGGAAATGGCTACAATCAGAGCTGTGACCTGTTGCATATTGATTGCTGTGTTAAATAACACATTGAATGTCTTAAATAGTGAAAGAATTAACGTAACACACCAAATACAGTGCAATATTGCCCTGTTACCTTTTTACAAAATAATAAAATGTGACAGGTTTTACCCAATATTGCAGAAAGTGAAGCACTGGACTTCACCCTACAGTGTTTTCTATAACATGTAATTAGTTACAGTTAATTCAATCTGGAAATAAATATTCATTAATGAAATGCCAGGAAATACCTGGTGTTTGAAATACCTGGTGTCGTGAAATACTAGGAGTTGTGACCAGAGTCATAATTCTTGGCCTCTTGGCTGAACAGGGTGCAATGAATAATAGGAATAAATCAAATGATCACTTTTAGTCAGTACACTGACAAAAAGATACATAAATGATGCCATCGTCTAAATATTAGCTTTCAGGATAGCCATTTTGATCAGACTTTAGGATTATGCAAACGACAAAGTTGCTAGATGTTATTTCTGGTGTTTACTTATGCTTATATAATGTCTATGACCGAGTGTCCTGCTTTATTATGAACAGAGACGGCTAAAAAAGGCAAAAGGAATTGTGGGTCACAGCACATCAGGGCAATTTCACAGAAAATCACTTCAATGACTCCATAAAACAGAAAGGCACATTTTTATTCAGAAATAGAATTCGCCACTTGTGGTGAATGTTTTACTTTGTGTTACGTTATACTGCAAGCAGATCTAGCACTGTAGCTCTTTGTGGTGCACGCATTGCTCAAGGCACACGACATTGATGCAAGTTGAAGAACGTAGCCATTCTTCCCAGTCTCATCAGCTATGCTTCCCACAAGGCACCACAGACTGTAAATCCTGTGGTGGGATGTTCAAGAGAACACTGTGAACTGAAGAAAGCCGCCAGCGTTTACCTTAAGCTTAACTTGGATTTCCCTGGCCTTCCGTCGAGCCAGCACCTGAATGTGACTAGACACCTGGATGACAAAGACACAGAAAGGCAAGTTAAAAAAAGTCACATGATTCAGTCTGAGCTCAGTCCAACCCTGGAATCATTTCTGACACGAATGATTGGGAGAAACACTAGTTGAAAAGGTTACAAAAATACAACATTGAGATTCTGCAGTACACTCTGCTGTAACAAAACTGGGACGTAGAAGCAAAAACAGGAGGAAGCTGTTTTTGTCCTGGAAGCAACGCTATTATTAGATCCTGGCTCCCCTTATCTCTCATGGCAAGTAGATAACGGAGTTGATACACATTAGGGAGCATTCCACTCAGTCACACTCTTTTGATGATTGTATTTTATTCTGTCCATTTGTTCTGAAATGTGATGTATTACAGAGCCAGACCAACAACCTTGCATTCATCACTGTATCACAGCACACAATACATTCTTATCTGTTTAATAATCAATTTGCTCAAAATCCACTGTAATATTTCAGGTACGTGCCATGTACAACATAAATAATGCAAAAGCAGAATGTAATAAAAGTTAAAATATCATTTGAAAATGAAAACTATGGAACATTATAACAATATATTCCCAACCAAAATGCTAGAGCTGATAGCATGCACGGACACACATTCAAATACTGATAGCCTTTACTTAACTCTTCCTTCTTTGGTGCCTATTTCAGCATGCAAATTTTATTTTGTAACTTGAGAAGAGTATCACTGCTGTGACTTTTTTCATGCATTCCTCAATGCAGGCAGCGCTGAGCTCATTAAACTGGAGAGACTTTTTGGCTGTTTTAGCTTCCTGCTTAAGATGGATACCTGTCTGATGGAGGCTATGAGCACGTAAGATTCAAACCTGTCATAACACTATGGTGTCAAACAACAGGGTGGGTTCAGGCTTTTCTAGAGTTGCATGGTCCTCAGACATGTATTAGATATACTATCATGGGCAGTAAGTACCTTTGTTTTAATGAGACCCAGTGTCCTTTCTATGAACGCTCATTGTTTTGAAAGCAAAGGTATTAAATCTACAGCCAATTTCCATACACATTCACAAAATCAGGCCTGCTTAGAGTTCCTCAATCAGTTCCTCAATCTTGATTCTTGTTTTTCAGAAACATATTTCCTAACCCTTTTGAGCTGTTGCCTAATGTGCCAGAGAGGAGGGGGCTGACATTCCTTCCCTAAGGCGCTTGTAAACAGGGGAACGGGAGGAACGGGAGAAAGTCAGTTGGGACACTCAGTATTCATGACAATCAGTCTGCACAGCTGTGAGTATGGATCCCTTCATTTTTTGGTAAATTCCCAACAAGCTTTCAAAAGTTTAATTGGTGTCACATGCTACTGAATTGCAAACCTTTAGTAACACCCAGTTTTTTTATTCATGACGTTATTTGGATTATATCCATTGACTGTTAAATGCCCCAGCGCCTTTACCACGTCTGTGTGAAGGCCTTTCCTACATAAAAAGCAAATGTTAATGAAGATTTCCCTATTTTTTTGTATACTTGTGCACTGGGGTAGACACATTATCCAATGAATAACCAATACTAGTATAACACATGCATTTGCTCTAGATGCGCAGTTTAACAAACGAATCACTTCGAAACGGAAGATGATACTTCATTCCCTTCTCACCTGTTTCCTTGTTCGGGTCTTTCCTGTTCGCAGCTTTATGTATCTTGCTATCAGCTCATTTCGCCCTGAAAGTGCAAATGGAAAATATTTTAAACAAAATAAAGCAGTTCAGGATACTAGACTGGATATTAGATAGACTGAATGTGGCAAATTAAATTTTCCTCATTAACAAACAAAATGATGTATTTTTATAGCCAGGGCTTTATGGTGATGCTATACTATATGGCTCAAAAATGTGAAAAGCATATTCAGGAATTTTCCTTTGACTTCCCAGACTCCGATTACCACTTGAATGGTTTTCAGTGTTGTATTTTACTTGCCAATATGTTCTATAAAATGCAAAACAATTTCCCAAAAACCAACAAAGCAAAATAAATTTAAAAGATGTGACTTAACTTCCCCATAAAATCAGGACTGGAAAGATGATTCCACTGGCATATATCAGTCAGACTGAGTTCATATTTCTGAGCTGTAAGCTTTTTTAATGCAGTAAACACCAGGTGTCCCATATTTCATTCTTGTTATTGTTTGCAAATACACTTACATAGACAGACATAGGGATTCAAAAGAGTACATTTGCTTTTCTGCGCCCTCAGTATACATTCTTAGAAGATTCTAGTCCCTAAGAATCAAATCAGTAATGGTTTGAGCTTCTAAGCAAAGAGGGTCATGTTTTTCTAACCCAGGGAACCTATAAAAAGGATCTTGGACATGCATCTACAAATACAGAAATCTTTATTAGCAATTCTGGCATCACTTAAATGCCTCGCTCTTCTTTTTCTAACGCTTTTCAGACAAACGTTGGTCGCCGCTGTGTGGAATTAAAAATGTTTGTCGAAGAGAGCTCCCCGGCCAGGAGAAACTGACAAGAGACGTCAGGGGATGAGTTTTCTCACAGACATCATTTGGTCCAAACGAAGACGCTGCTGACAGATGGGTCACATTGGCGGAGCAGGTGAGTGGCCGGCTCTCTGCTATGCGATCCCCCCGGGTTCAGCTCTCCTCAAAGGAGCCATGCTGGAGCTTACGCCGATGAAGGCCCTGGTGCTGAAAGGGCCGTGGCAGCTGCCTGTGTGTCAATGTTTATAGAATATGCCTTTAACGGGGGCAGTAAATCTTCGGCTTGTTCCTCCGTCAGGACTCGGGTTTCAAAGGGGGGGTGGGGGTTCAGTGTGACGGTCACGTGGCCTTCTTCCCTCCCACCATGAGGGGGTTCGAGGTGTGTGTGTAGACCTCTTAAACAAGCCCCAGTTCCCTCAGCCCAAAGTGCCGGGGACCAATATTAAACTGCCTGCAAACTAAGGTCTAGTCCCTACCATTGTTTCTTCAACCTGTAATGCACAACCTTCAGTAACTATATTAACTATAATAACCCCTCTGCTCTTCTTAGTACCACCATCCACGGTCTCCTCCATATATTCTAATTGTGTTTTATCTTGTGTATTCTTCTTATTTATTGTTGTTGTCATCCTGTAAAACACTTTGAGAAGCTACCTTTAAAGGCGCTATATAAGACGTCTGTATTACCAAGTTGACCTCCCTAAACTCTTACTGGTAGCAAATATAGCAGCACATTAGTTTCATAGTTTGGCTGTGTTTAAACCTTGCCTTTTTGTACCATGTTTTCCCACAGTATGAATCATGATTTACCATACCTTATTCAGCTTTGTTGTGCATCAAATGTACTCTACTACAAGAAACTAATAATAAAGTTTATTTTATATAGCAGATTTAAAGGTGGCTTCTCACAGAGATTAAAACAAAGGTAAGACTCTTCTGATCTCCATCTAACCACAGGGATTGCCATTAAGCAGTAACGTGAAGGCTTCTCAGTCATCTCCAGCCAGTACAATCCTGCACAATTCTCGGAGATCTTTACACACTCCAGTCTTTAACAAGATTAGTCACTCAGGGGCACTAAGCCTGTTTTCTTCACTGTAAGGATATTGATGGGGCATTTTTCTTTGACAATGTGTCTATCAAGGTACTATGTTTTCAAATCTGTTATTCAAATAGAACTTCAGTTTTAGGCTCATTATTGATGATGAAATAGTTGATAGTGGCTTCTGGTCTCTTAAGAGGTTAAGAGACCTTCCACTTAACATATCACATTAGCCTTAACCATCTTCTTCAGTCCTATACCAGATTCTCAGATGAGAAGTCATTTTCACTTCAATTTCCTCTCATAGAAAAAATCAGCTACTTCAAAACATCATTTAACTGAGCGTAACAATGACAGATTTACGCTCTGGTTTACGCTCTACGCTATGGTTTGAGGGCACTGGGAATTTTTTGGTTCAAACTTACATTTTCAGTTGTTACACTCTGTGCTGTTCTATGGCGCTATGACCCTCTGATTTACAAAAGTACTGCACTTTGAATCAAGATCAGACTTAGCTAAACTACTAAAATTGTATAATTTAAAGAAAGAAGCACTTTCTGAAAGTCAGGAATTTGTGTTGTGTTGTATTGGTAGACCTCTTTTGTTTAAAAAAAATTGGATCTGGCAAAATAGTATTTCTCCAAATTGAGAATCTCCATGCTGTTTTTAAAACCGGCTTTACAACTATCAACCTTGTAGTGCTTGTGGGAGAACAAAGACCTGTAGACATGTACAGTATCTCCAAAATAACCACCTGTCAGTACCATTCATCTTTTAAAAAGCTACAAGCCTCACAGTCCTGTATAGGATATTTAGCGATGAATGGAGGAGGAATGCATCTCTCAATGATGACACTGTGAGCTTGCCAGCACAGTCCAGTCAACTAATGATATGCCCATCTTGAATCAGTGATATCTGGGCCATAGGTCTCAACCTGTGTTCTGCAGGAGCACCGTTCCTGTTTGATCTACTTAGTGAGACATTGGCTTATAGAGAGTGCAATCAAGCTTCGTTGTTTTAAGCAAAGGGATGTTTCCCATTTTACTTTTAGATGCATTTATTATGTCTCCAACTACCTGCAAAAGCCAGAAGGGTTTTAGTGTTTGGAACAGAACAAAGACAGAAAATCCGCAATTGCGAGCTTTGTAATTTTTGGTCTCCCACTTTTAACATCTAAGCAGCATTTAATGTGAAAAATTGTCAGTTTCAAAACAAATTCACTTTAAAATGTAGTGTTTAAAAACACTGTCACTTTGCAGGTTTTTAATAACTCCATACTCTGAGTTACTGACAAACCTTTTGTAAATTGAGATTTATTACATGGGAACATAAGCATTTTTATTATCTGAATGCTGTGCCCCCCGAGATTAGGTAGTGATGGGATGTACTAAACTGGGAATTGCAGTAAACAGCAAACAGGCTGTTCCATTTCCTACAGGGGTCGCTGTATGAAGATCATACTGTCATACCAGACAGTGCTATTTCAAATATAGTCACGAGATTCTCATATCAGCAAAGGGCAAAGGCTTCATAAAATATCTAATCATTTTAAATGTTCCTTTATACTCCTGTTTTTATTATATGCATGACTTGAAGGGTCATGTTTCCGCATGTTAATTTTTTTAGCAAGTGTAACACTTATCATGATTCATGAGAAAACTTACTATAGTAATATCTAGGCATTACTAGCCTTTAATGCCTTAAATACACCTTATAGCCTTTCTCATATTCTTGTGATCTACTGTCTAAATTACATATATGAAGTGAACACACTGTTAAAGCAAAGGGTTGGATCTCTTATACAAGATACAATGATCCACTATACAATGAGGTTTCCTTCTCACACGGTAAAACAAATGAGCCACACATTGCTAATCCACGTCATCTTTTAAGTGACAAATTAGTTACGGATAAGCATTGTTCCTTATGCAAAATTTAGTAACTAGTAACTTTGCATAAAATAATAATAATAACAACACTTAAAATGTGTGTGTGTGCTTCTCATCTAAAAAACATGTATTATATTGGACTTTCTATATATGAAACAAAATGAAGGGCATCGCTTTCTTTTGTGATTTGAAGGGATAATTCTCTTCCAAGAGACAAACTGATCTCCTTAATCTAGACAGTGCATGTCCAAAATCAGGACATCCTAAACTGGGATACCCCCATGCAATGACAACAAATGGCTGATCGCCACCTGGGACAGATTTCAGATTAATTGTGCAAGCTCTCGTGACTATCAGTGATGACTCTGTCCCAGGAGTCTCCTGGCTTGTGGTGACAACATTCATGGCCACTCCTCTCCTCCAAATGGCTTAGAGCTTCCACATACCGGAGGATTCCATATTGTTTTAAGTGTGTCAAAAGATAAATAATTCGTACAGAGGATGAGGAAAAGGAACTTCCATACTTTCCCCATACTTTTACTGGAGCTGATGGCAGTTTGGGGTTTCTAACTCTAGGGAGTGAATGTCCATCCTTTTTTCTAACCTCTTTATCCAATCCAGCATCAAGTGGGAGATGGAGCCTATGCCAGCAAGCAACGGGCACAAGCCAGGGTACACCCCGGATAGGATGCCAGTCCATCACGGGGCACACACAGACAGACACGCACACACGAAGACCAAGGCCAATTTTCCAGAACCCACTTAACCTTCCAGTATGTTTTTGGACTGTGGGAGGAAGCTGGATCACCCAGAGGAAACCTACACAAACGTGGGGAGAACATACAAACTCCACGCAGACAGTACCTCAGATCCAGGACTGAACCCAGTACCCTAGCAGTGCATAGCGGCAATACGAACCACTGCACTACTGTGCTGCCCTGGTGAGAGCACATAATAAAAAATTAAAGATCTTAAAAATGTGTATACCACTGAGTGGCTGCTTCGGTGTGAGTGGAGACATTTATAAAGTGACAAAGGCAGTAGAACTTGACAAAATATCATGCACTAGAAACATTGTGAAGGCAATCAAAGCTACACCATTCAGACTTCCTGACAAGAGAACAGCAGATCTGAAGACACTCACTTTTTTGGCTAGTTTTCAGTACATTACTTTGACAACACTGTAAAGTCCACTGCCTATCATGATGTTTGGGTCTAGAAATGTCTTATTGAAACACAATTGTTTCATGTGACATCAGTTTTAACTGGAATTCTTGGAATGTTTGGCAGCTTA